CCCCCTGCCTCCGCTGCCTGCCTGCCTGCCGTATGTTGTTCCCGGAGCAGTGGGGGCCATGGGCAGGGGAGGGCAGCCAGGAGCCAGGGGGGGATTTGGCCTTTCTCTGGGGTCCCCTCCCAGCCCCTGAGGGCTCAAAGGGCTGAGCTCTGGGAGCCTGGTGTCCCCCCGTGCCCCTCTTGGTTCTTAGCACCCTCTCCCTGCCTCAGTTTCCCTGCTGGGGGATGCGTGGGGAGCGCCATGGCTGACCACTGCCGCATCCTCATGGGGACGTGTCAGGCGCTGGGGCAGCAGCCCCTGGGCTGGCAGCAGGCTGGCAGGGTGCGACACCCGTAGGACACGTCACCGTCCTCCCCCCACCGCGCCCCTTCGAAATGAGCCCAGGCAGCCTCGGTGGCACCAAGATGTTTATAGTCCATTGCGAGCGCAGCCCCCGCGCACCGGGGAAGGACACAGGAGGGAGGACCATGCCGGGGGTGCAGCCAGCGGGGGGACAGGCAGCACATGGGCAGGGGGGGGTGGCATGTGGAGGCAGAACAGGGACAGTGGTGCTCTCCCTTGGGCTGGCGCCCGGGTGCAGTCGCTCACACGTAGTCTTTCATGGCGTAGCTCATCGGGCTGCAGCTCTTCACCGCTCTGTACTTCTTGGGGTAGGGGTCCTGCTGGGATGGGGGTCCCGAGCAGCACAGGAGGCCCCCGCCAAAGAGCTGGAGGGCACTGGAGGCCCAACCAATGTAGAGGGCAGCCCCCAGCTCCCTCTTGAGGGCCTCGGGCACCATGGGGTTGTAGAAGTTGCTGACAATGCTGTTAGCAGACCAGGAGACAGGGATGAGCAGCATGATGCTGGCCAGCACGAAAATGACACCTGCCATGGTGGAGATCCTGGTCTTGGTGCTCTTGTCATCCACGCAGCGGGTGCAGTCTGCGCCCGAGATGGCAGTGAGGAAGGCGAAGAAGGCCACGAAGATGGAGGTGATCACCAAGGCGCGAGCCACTTGCAGGTCAGAAGTGAGCTCCAGCAGGGAGTCATAGACCTTGCACTGCATCTGCCCCGTGCTCTCGTACACGCAGTTCATCCACAGCCCTTCCCAGAAGACCTGGGCCACCACGATGTTGGAGCCAATGAAGGCCGTCACCTTCCACATGGGCAGCGCGCAGGTGAGGATGGAGCCCAGCCAGCCCAGCACAGCCAGTATCAGCCCACCCAGCTGCATCGTCATCGTTGCCATCGACAGCACCTGCGGGGACAGGGCACAGCTGTCACGGACACGGCCCCAGAGCCAGGGGCCTTTCTGAAGAGCGTGGCCTTCATGCTGGGTGCATCCTGTCGCCATCTGGATGGGAAGGGCTGCAGACCAGCATGGGGACACGTGTGGCATGGGGCGTTGCTGCAGGACAGCATGGGGACATGTGTGGCACGGGGCATTGCTGCAGGACAGCATGGGGACACGTGTGGCATGGGGCATTGCTGCAGGACAACATGGGGACCTGTGGCACAGGGCATTGCTGCAGGACAGCATGGGGACACGTGGCATGGAGTATTGCTGCAGGACAGCATGGGGACACGTGTGGCATGGGGCATTGCTGCAGGACGGCATGGGGACACGTGGCACAGGGCATTGCTGCAGGACGGCATGGGGACACGTGTGGCACTGAACACCCAGGTCCCAAGAAGGCCAAGGTGCAGGAGCCCCCGTGTGTCATGTTAGCCCCTACAATGTCCCCACGGCACAGGGCAGTCCCCTGCCATCACCTCATCCCAGCTGGGCCAAGCGCACGGCAAGTGTTAGGGAGGGGATGGCTTTCAGGGAGCAGGATAAGGGGCTCGCCGTGCCCATCCCAGCACGCTCCAAAGTGCAGACCGCACCCCACCCCCCCCCTACACTCACCCCGCGTCCTGCCATGGCAGCCATCCCACAGCGCCCACCCCATGCCCTGCTCCATTGCTGGTGCTTCAGCCTCCTTGGCCACGAGCATCACACGGCGGGGCACGGACAGGCGAGGCAGCCCCCTGCCCTCACCACGGCACCGTCTGCTCCCCGTTCAAGGGCAGGTTTTGCTTTGCCCTTGGCAGCTGCGCTGCAGTGCCCTTTGGACCCGGGATTTCCTCTCTGGGGCACTGGAAATGGGTCAGAGCTCAGGTCTGCCTCTGATCCTGGCTGTGGTGCTCAGCACTTTCAGCGATACCCGCTCTTCCTTCGCACCGGGAGCAGCACCGAGAGGGCAAACCCCCAGCGAGGGGCTACGGAGCCTGGGGTCACAGCAGGCTTCACCCCTGTAAGAGGGGTGGCCAGTACGGGGGGACACGCCAGACATGCCAATGGCTCCACCACGGTCACACACGGCCACCATGGCCCTCAGCTCAGTCCAAATCGCTGCTCAGCCCTGCGCAGAGCAGAGCCGCCGTACCGCCATGGGGCAGGGTGCACCCATGGGTGCTTTCACCCGTGCTCAGCAGCCGGGACCAGCTGAGTTTTTATGAGCCCCGAGCAGCAGCGGGGTATCGGCTGTGCCCGGCACACCCCGCGGCACTTGCAGGAGGTTTCGTCGTGATTTCTCCTGTCCCGGTTTCAGTTTCTCCGGCCTCTCCTCCCCCATTGCGTCCCCACTCCTTCCCCAGCACCTTTCATCCCTTGGCATCTTGACAGACGCCCGGTGCTGGGACTTTGCCTCCCCTGGTCCATGAAAGCCCCTTTGGGCCAAAAATAAAGTCTCTCTCTCCCAGAGGAAGGGAGATCAGCCTCCCGGGAGGTCGGGGGGGCAGGATGATAAGAAGCCATCCCAGGCACCCTTTCCAAGCCAGTGGGACCTGGACCACAAGGGACACCCAAAACGGGGCACAATGCCCGCAGTGGGGACGAGCGGTGGCCCTGCGGATCCCGGCAGGGATGCTCACCGGAGCGTCGCGCTCACATTTCCACCTGGCCACCGGCACCACGGGGCCATTTTCCAACATTCCCACTCCCAGCGAAGGGATGGGGGAGCTGGGAGCCCTCGAGCCCCCAGACCCAGATGAGACACCCACAGCCTCGCGTTCGCCAGGCAGCCGGCGTCACCCGTTGTCCCCGTGCACCCCGAGGCACAAGAGCAGGATGTTCCCATGCTGGTGGAGCGCTGGCTGCGCCCCCGCGCAGCTTGCCGTGCTGGAAGCGAGATAGGCAAAACACCCAGCGTTGCCCACGCTGGCCCTGGGGTGCTCCCAGCCGGGGCTGTCAGGTGGCCCCAGGGCCAGCGCGCCCAGACCCGCCCCCGCCGGCGCCCGTCACCTTCTTCCTGCTCAGGTGGGAAGATCGTGCCGGGACAGGCGTGGGGCAGCCCCGACACCGCGTCCGGTGCTGCCAGGGCATCATGCCACAGAGGCACCCGTTGTCACCCCCCAGGGAGCAGGGGCCCAGGGTGGCCCGGGGAGGGGAGCGATGGGTGATGCCAGAGCTGGAGCAGGGGTCGGGGGGCGGCTGGGA